ATAATAATAATAATAATAATAATAATAATAATAATAATAAGAGTTATAAGAGAATATGTATAAAAAACCTTGTGTTTTATGAGAATTTCTTTGGCTCGATTGTAAGAATCGTTCAGAAGTCGAGTGATTTCTTGGTCGATCACTTCCGAAGTCTGTGGACTCAGTTCATTGACCTGCACGAACGCACTGCTTTCCTCTGGCGAAAAATCACGCAGACCGACCTTAATTTTGAAGGGTTGTTAAGTAATCGAGTAACGCATTAAGAATAAAATAACAGCAAACGATTACACCAACCCTTTCACTCATCCCGAATGTCTTCACCATCTTTGTGGCCAGTTGAGTTGCTTTCTTGAGGTCGTCCGCTGCTCCGGTAGTGACCTTATCCAATCCAAAGATCAACTCCTCTGCCACTCTTCCCCCCATCATCATATCCAACTGCGCTAACATCTGACTTTTGGTCATATGATATTCGTCTTTCTCGGGTAAAATTGCCGTCTAAATTTGGGTATTCGTGAAGTCTGTTATTATTAGAACACAACAGAAACAATAAACAAAAACTGACGTGTCCAAGTGACTGTCCTCTGGGAATGATGGTAACTTTGTGCAGTGGTATCGAATCTTTTGTGAATATTCCGACAAGCGTATGACCGGCTTCATGGAAGGCGGTGATACGATTGGCCTCCTCATCCGGAAGTCGACCACGCAACCTGGCTGGTCCTGAAGTGATGGAGTGTTTCGTGAATGTTTCTCATAAAGGAATAAAGAAATGCGAACGAACCCATGATAATGCGATCGCGAGCCTCTTCGAAATGCGACAGCATGACCATATGACAACCATCAGAAGCTGCCCTCAACGCAGCTTGATTCACCATATTTTCAATATCCGCACCCGTAAAGCCAGTCGTACCTTTAGCCAGTACATCCAGATTCACTTCATCCGTATGGATTATTTTACTTAGATACAGACTGAAAGTTGGCAATTGTTACTGCGATAAAGCGGTGATTGAGAAATTCAAAACCGCACCTGAAAATATCTCTTCGTCCAATAAAGTCTGGTGGTGAAACCGTAACCCGAACATCGAACCGTCCAGGTCGCAGTAGCGCTTTGTCCAGATCTTCAACCCGATTTGTAGCACCAATTATGATGACACCTTCATTTCGATTGAAACCATCCATTTCAGCGAGTAACTGTAATATTATTATTTAGAATTGAACAGTTATTAAAACACGAACTAATAACCTGGTTAATAGTTTGATTTGCGTACGGATGAATACTATTCGAGACTCGTTTCGAGCCAACGGAATCGATTTCGTCAATGAATATTATGCACGGTGCACGCTGCTTGGCTCGTTCGAAAAGATCGCGAACTCTGCGTGCTCCTTGACCCACCAGAACCTCATCGAACTCCGAGCCGGATGTATGGAAGAAAGGTACCTTTAAATACAACTATTAAATATTACTATAGAACTCAATGTTATCAACAAAATACCTGAGCCTCTCCAGCTATTGCTCTGGCCAAGAGGGTTTTCCCAGTTCCGGGAGGTCCAACAAGGAGCGCACCCTTGGGCAGACGACCTCCCAGCCGGGAATATCGATCAGGATCACGTAGATACGACACGATCTCTTCCACCTCTTTTTTCGCTTCATCCATCTTAAAATCTCGTTATTCACTAATCTACAAAACCATAAACGAGTAAATAAACAAATAAATACTCAAGAACATACCCCACGAACATCATCAAAAGTTACAGTCACATCTTCAGGTTTCACTTCCTGAGGTGATGAAAATATCAGTGAACCAAGTTGACGATCTCCGAGGCGAATACGGACAGCTGTGCATGAAACAATTTTAGTGTGATATACTTATTCATACAGGATAATTTATAAGAATGATTTAAATAATCTCTCACCACCAGACCAATAAATGATGAATATGGCCAACGCCAGAAACACAAAGAATCTGCTTAAAGCGGATGGTTTTTTGGGTGCTTGCGTGCTTGTTGTGTCACTGTTCGCGCTCTTCATCGATATTATCCCTTTCATAAAACCTTCCTATAATTTCCTTCATNCTCCAATCGGAATTGTAAAATTCCACAAACCGTAAAAGTTTTTCGCTGAGATTCTGGAACTTTTTTCAATTCATTTTCATAAACATTCCACTGATCCACATCCGAGCGATCAATACCTTCCACAGTCTATAAGATCGCTTCAATCATTCCTCTCTTAAATGGAATTGAAGATTGGGACAATGCCTAGTGCCCACCGAAAACATTGATATTCAAATGGAAGTTAAGCACCTTTGCGGCACGAAAATCTGGGAAGAATCGACTGAAAAATGAAGGTTTTTCGGCTTGTTTTGGTGGTTTTCTAGCGTTGATGCCCTGCAGTCCAGATCGCGTGCGAAATCCGCGTTGTTGAATATAGAATTGAGAAGTTGATGCATGATATGATAGCGAGATTTGATCGTTTAATTTACATGTGATCACACGCGATCGTAATGCACGTCGAGATGGATTTATTCGATATTCTGCAATATCACTTCATCGAATTATCATCTTTTCTTAAGTTCATACACAAGTGAATGTGCTTAGTTAGTAGCTTTTTAACAATCCACGACATTGTTTGGTAAGGCTCGAAAGTCACGAGTTCGCGTTGCCAAATCTTTATTTACAATCGACATTTTTAAATTCCAAACAGGTTGTTTCAATTACTCGAAGGGAATTTTGGAATAGTATTTTTATCGGTCGTAACCTTGTAGTAAAGCTTTTAGGTCTTCTTTTGTGATATCAGCCAAATTTCTGCGATAAATTGTTCGGGTAATAATATCCTCCGTTTTATAAGTGCTGTTTCTGCACTTCTGTCCACTCTTATGAATAACTCCTCCAGAATTACGTGCAGAGAGAAATTGTGGTAGTGATAAGGTATGTAGAATACTACTTCCAGATGACAGTGACAATGACATTGTCTGAACTTAGAGGTGTAATCCAACCACAAGTACCACAGCAAAGTTACTTCACCTGAAACTTTTAATCATCACCCATAAGCAATTACAGAGCAAAGGCTCATATAGTGATCAAAATGAGTGATTTAGAAGAGCAGTTAATAAGCATTATTATCCAGCTTGTCAAAACTAAACGACTGACCTTAGCAAAATAAAAATAATCAACTAAATTGTAGTTGCGATTCATTAGTCACGAGAGACATTCACAAGCAAAGTCAAAACTCGTGAGAGAATTCTTATGAAATACATGTTTATTTATCACATTACTACTGAATGACATCATCGAGTTGTTGAGTGACACGAGTATATCTGCACTTTTACAAATTTTGTTAAAGATCTCAATGGTAACAGCACGGTTCCTGATAGGAACACTGGCTTCCAGAAAGCTAATCACGTCCACATGAAAAAGAGAGGTTCCAGCAGGAAGAAGTGTTCCACCTAGAAAAATCGAAATTCCCACATATAATGGCAGTTTCTCTAGAAGCAATGCAGCTCCCACTGATTGTGAGAAAGAGAGTTCTTTTGGGTTTCTGGGAGAACACTTTCTGCAAGATGAAAAGTTTCTGGAAAGGAGGACAAGTTTCTCGAGGAGGGGGGGAGCCTTTCCCGGGAGGCATGAGAAGGTTTTACCCGNCCTTTCCCCTGTCAGTTTATGACATTTATTCTCAGTGTGTTTGTTCATCTCGTCGACGCCTCACCTCAACACTCAACTTTATAATATCTAAACGATATCAAGTGCATCTAATCTGCAATGCGATCTGTTCATATTTTTATGACACTTTGATCTTCTTTCAACGCGCTTCTTGCTCTATCTATGTGATTTCACCGAAATTTTTCATTGTGTTCGAATGATATCCTTCAAATCATATCAGAAATGTAATGCAAGCATGAATGACACGTATAGTTTCATAGAAAAACATCCAGAAATGCTTATCTGTTTGTGTTTTATTTGCTATTTGAGCAATACTCATCTTTTGTATCGAACAAATTTATTTGGACAGTGTTTCCATTGTTTCAGACTTCCAATGAGCGAGCAGTGTGCAACGAATGAAGGTAATCCATCCACTACAAATAATTCATCACAACACCACGATAAAAAACCTGAACTGAAAGAAAATAGTAGTGATCTGGTCGAGTCATCTACCACATCTGGGTATATCCTGCATCAGTATCTCTTAGTTTTACGGAATTGATCTCCTTTCTCTTTATTTGGACCTACGTTGATCATTTGACTGAGAATGATTTACCGCAAAATTGGTTTACCGCAATCATTTGAAGAGATCGGATGCTGAAACTTTAATCGTAACTCAAAACTGAGTTCAGATCAGAAAATGAGAAGGGTATTGTGGATGTCAAATTGCAAATCGACGAGCTTATCAAGTGTAAACGCAAGGAATCGTTCAAATCGTTAACGCCATCAGATGAATTAGAACTGATTATTGAATTCTGCAAAAATCAACTTTGTCAGTACGAACAGGTTCATTTTATTTGATTGTGAATGATTTACTTTTTATGACTACGATTTATTTTTGGTATTTTGACCATTTTTATTCAAAGTTTGTCATTAGTTTTATTGGGTAATTTCATTTTTTGGGCAGAATTCGAGATGTATTATTTCAATTGACAGTTTAATTTTGAGAATATCGAAAACGATGAAAGAAGAAAATTTCTGATGGAGAAATTAGTGGACTGCCGTCTACAACTTCAGAGTCTGAAGGTATAGTTGGTCCGTTTTTGCTTGACTTCACGGCCTTAATTTAACATGTGATGTGATTATCTTGTAGTTTTGTCGGAGGGATGCAAGATCGGAAATGGTTTCTTGCAAATGTGTTGTTTATTATCACTGTTATTTATTGCATTTGCTGAATTATTTCAATGCTATTGCAGGAGAGTGAAGGTGACGAAAACAGGAATGGGTATATATTAGTGAAAGGTCATAAGTTTGTGCTACAGTCGGTGAGCGGTCGCAATCCGTATTGTGAAGTTTGTGTTACGACTATATGGCGCATCTTACAACGGTGGATGAAATGCAGATGTTGGATTTTATTTGTTTGATTGTTCGAGTGCAATTTGATGTTGTTCCATTATCGTTTCGTTGTTTGCAGTTTGTGGATTTCGAACTCATGAAAAATGTATCCCATCAATTATACGACAGTGTCCGAGCGTAAAAGCTAATAACCCTAAGTTCAGGTTTCCAATTGGAATATTCATGAATGCTTGCACTGTGAATGAGATTTTGTGTGATAATTTGAATTAGAATTTAAGGATTCGAACAGAAATCTGTGAAGAACGTGGTTTGGATGAGCAGAATTATAAATGTGCTGAATGTGGACATGCCATTCACTTTGGTGCGTTTTGTTTTATGCTTGCCGAATGGTAGTATTTTTGTGAATATTTGCTGTTCTTTAAGGTGCTTCAGCGACAGAGGAAGAGCCTCGATTATGTGATTACAATGGTCGTTATTACTGCCGCAAGTGTCATTGGAACGACGAGTGGGTAATACCGGCACGCATTGTTCATAACTGGGATTGTGAGAAGTATTTGGTGCGTTGGTATTTCAGGGCGTTGATTGTTTGAAGACGATATTATTTAAGGTGTGTCGTGCATCGAAGCAGTTACTGTCCTTTATAGACCGTAAACCACTGCTGAATATATCGCAGTTGAATCCATCTCTAATGAAGTTTGTAACGCAATTAAATAGGTTGCATACGATGCGGAAGAATATTCTGTTCATGAAGTGCTATTTTATGTGTTGCAAGGTTGGTTGTTTGTTTGGCTTGATTCGATTGCGGATTGATAATAATGTTTTATTGTCAGGAGGCACGCAAATTACGCATATTGCAATACTTGAATCGACGACAGCACTTCGTGGACAGTGCGGAATGGTATAGCATAGCGGATTTACGGGATTTGTGTGAGAATAATTTATTGTCGGAGATAGAGCAGATAATGAGGATATTCGATGAACATATCACTTCGGACTGCTTGATATGTCGGGGCAATGGGTTCTTTTGTGAACTGTGCACCGATAAGAAGAAGGTTAGAGATTTTTGTTAGGGTTGCATTCATGTTCGATTGTTTTCTTCGTTGAAGTTGTTTGACTTGAATCTGCGTTTCAGGAGATATTCCCATTCTCTGAGGGCGTATCGATATGTCATGATTGTTGCGCAGTCTTTCATAAGATTTGTTTCGATAAAGTCAGTCATCGATGCCCGAGGTAGTGTTATCGTGAAATGAATATTATATTTGTGATGGATTTGTCGAATTATTTCATGATTTTGGTGGATTATTCGTTTTGATTTGATTAAGAATGAAAACGTCGTGGTTATTTCAGATGTGCTCGAAGGAAGCAACGTATTCCAGTGATAGAATCTCCGATTGAGAATAGCTGTTGAATGGCATTTAGAATTAATATTGCTATTATTGCCGCATTCAGCGTGCCGTTTTCTCTGTCAAATTAGAATTGTTGAACATTCACTTGAGGATATACGGCTCTAATTGTTTATTATTGTACAGTAACAGTATCTTGTTATATTTTTCATTTGTTTGTGTTTTGCTTTTGAAAATGTGATTCATTGTTCTCCATTCGTGGCAGTGCTTTTTATAATATCTGTAAAGAATGTGAATATCTCTTATCTGACTTTCCCTACGAAATTGTTTTCAATCAATTTCATATCTAATGAAGGCATTAACTTGTAAATGAAACTGTTTTACTCATTTCTGTGTTAGAGTATTACGACATATTCCTCGCAGTAATAATTAATGAAATCTGCAAACCTTATTTATTCTTTGCGATGATGGTCTGCACAAAGAAGATTTCAAAATAGAAATACGGTGTGGTTTCGTCGGATAATTCTAATTTTCGGGAGTTTGAGTCATTTAAGAGAATGATTTATAGCAGCCTAGCAATAATGTCAGTGGAGAGTATACCGCGGGATTTACGTAATCTGCGAGCGTGTTTGTTATGTTCGATGATAAAAACATTGGAACAGTTCGAGGAGGACGGCTGTGATAATTGTGAGCGGGTGTTGGGTATGAAGGGCGACGAGGAGAAGGTTGGGGAGTGCACCAGGTAGGTATTCTGAGGTTTTGCTTGGCAGGTGATGTTCCTATCAATTGTGTCTTAATTGCAGTTCGAATTTCGACGGTATGATCGCAGTGATCTCACCTGAAGATTCATGGGTGTGCAAATGGCAGAAAATTAGTCGAAAGGTTCGTTTTTATTTGAATGATCGTCATTGTTATTGTTTGCAATGAATTAATTTACAGGCGAAAGGAATGTACGCGATATCGGTATCAGGGTCACTACCACGACATATAATAGAGGAATTAAAACAGCAGCACATCGTTTATAAGCCAAATATGCGTGATATGACTATCAGTAATTGATGTTTTGTTTCATTTATCGGTTGATTTCGCTCGTAATGCTTTGAAACTGTTTTTGTAACTGTTCGTTGATTGTGGATCAGAATAGAGTTGAGTCGATGGCCATCGCTAGCGGTGAAACTCAGTGAGAATTTCAATACATATGTGCGAAAAATGTTTCGTGACTGATATAAATTCATTTGGCACCTCTCTTCCTTTCGCTATCCCCTTTTTGCATTCAAAATGGCTGGTAATATGCTGAATATGATGTCTTCTTTCGTAAATGTGAATAAATTTCGAATCTCGAGTTTTATTGTACAAATTGAAGAAGAACTTATCCATTGCCGGATTAACATTACAATTGTCGTAAAAACGATGCAGTATGATTGTTCACAAGATTACGATAACAAAAAAGATAATAGAAACATGTAGAAATATTCTGATTCTATACAGTATTGTTGATGAGACTATGCCATCATNTTAAATACCGCTACGCAAGAAATCGCGACCTGCACGTCTCGGTTTTCGTTGCTTCTCTTTCAATCATCCTTATCACCAGTACGCGATAACATATCTCTACGTCCACCGAGATTACGGTAGTTTCAACTCGGCTACAGAACGAAAACTCACGGAAGCAAAGTGGAGCACAAGAGCGAGGAATAATTCGTAATAAAATCGCTCGTTTGGAAGAGTTCACAACGAAACGGGTAAATATTGGCGCAGGTGATATAGATATTGCATATGACCAGTGAGAGTGCGTTTAAGGTGTTGTTCGTTTTAAGTGTGTAATCAATGTTTAATTATCCACTTTCGAATGGACAATCCTCGAATTCATCTGCAGAATTCACTTTCTACGATAAACCCCCCACAAATTCAGATGATTCTCGATTTGATGACACACATCCATTCAAAAGGCAGATGGTACGTTCTCTCCGAATTTCAACCTCTCGGCCTTCATCTTTTGCGTAAATCGTCTTGGATATACTAAATCAATCTCCCCAATAATGCATCTTAAGATTGTGCCATCGAAGTGACTAATTATTTTCAAGTTAAGTTAAATCANTAGGAATAATCGAGAGTATAGATATAAGTTGAGTTGGGTGATCAGTCAAACTCAACAGCTTGATAGAAATGATATCAAAATTAAGGATGTGAATTTGAAAACGTTAATCGAAGGGGACGCACCGTTACCGAAAAGGAAAGTGGATAAGATGAGCGCACGATTAGATAAAGTACACATATCGCCGAATAGGAATATTAATCATTTGAACTGGAGAAAAAGACATCTTCGACAAGAAACGCTTGATGAAATTGATCGGAGGTTGGTTTTTACCTGAATCAGTTATTGACGGTGCAGTACATGTATTGTTGCAGACTGAACGACTCATCGGATGACGAATCGAGTGGTAACGACGACGGTATCATCCGTTCAACGAAACGAGAAAAATTCGATGAAAACAGTCGTTTGATGATGAGTGATGAACTCAAACAATTCATCAGAAGAAATGCCAATGAACCCATCGTTCTTTCACCGAAGTAATCATTGTTCATTATTCATTTGGTCGTTTAGTTTTAATTTTTATAACATTAGTAATCTCTTTGGTGTGGGTTGTTTAAAATTCGTTAAAATACGCATCATTTTAAGGGAAAGGCCATCACCCAACAATGCAGTAGTTCCATATGTTCCTCGTACGATACCGCTATTATCGGATGTAAAACCGTCAACGGAGAGTCACATAAATGAAATAACAGAGAACGATGAAGCATGGCATGATGCCTCCTTAATTGGTTTGTTTTGGTCGATTAATTTCTGGTTATTTTTGTGAACAAATGGTGATGTTACAGACAGCGAGGAGGTGATCGCAGAAGTATCATTCCCGGACGATAGCAGTGTTGGATCGTCGTCTTTAGACGAAGAAGATGCGTCCTTAAGGTCACAACCGCTGAAACAACGATCCAGTGAACTAGAATCGGTGGTGGAAATTGCAGAAGTAACGAATGAAAGTGGTGTTGAGGAAGATACTGATTTGGAGATGGACTGCAGTTGATTGCAGTCGACATATTTTCTTTGTTATCAATCTACTCGATTGTTCTTCATCAAAATTTTAATTGCACTGATGTATTTTGAAAATTTTATTGATGTATTCTGTAATACTTTTTGTTTCAAGTTATTTTCCCAATGTAAAATTTTGTGGCAAAAGAATGTATTCGCTATGCTTTATTCATATTTACCTCATATTCAGGAAACGATTTCACTTTGATGATTGATTACTGATGATAATTGAGGGATGGAAAGTATTATTTGAAAGGCAAATCAATGAATGGGCCGTGCATCCACATTTGAGTGAATCTTTCTTGCCTTGTAATGATCGTCGATCTCTGATAAACAATTATTTCATCACATACACTATTATCTACACATACATTGGAATGTGATCG